TGGCATTTTCTTTCTACCTGCATTGGATTTCTTTTCTTTTGGCATTGGGATTTTCTTTTCATTTACAATAGGATTTTCCTTATGATTAATTACAATGGGATTTTTCTCTCTTTAAATTGGGATTTTTAAAAATATTTGGTATGAGATTTTTCTGATTTCATATTGAAATTACAGTTTTTTTCTCCAATAAGTTTTTTCTTATCTAAAATAAAATTTATCATATATTTTGCAAAGAGATTTTTTTTTCTTGCATTTGTAATGGAATCTATTTGCAATGGAAAAAATTTCATGTATTTGCAATAAGTTTTCTTCAATAAACATTTTTCTTTTCTTGGAATTTTTCCTTTGTTTGCATTAGGATTTTTATTTTTATATATTACTTTATTTTACAAGGCTTAGATAGTGGTCACGAATGTGGTGGTGTTATTTTCTATGAAAAATTACAAAAAAATGTTTCACAAACAATTTTCTAGCAGCTGACTTACCAGCACTTCGGGATTTATTGTATTGTGAATACAATTAGAATTTCAAGAAGTTACAGACTTTATAATATGAAGTGTTTTAACACAATAAGACTATGGTTTTATCCCATTAGCTTAAAATTCCTGTAATCTCAACAACAAAAACTTAGGAAAGTGTTTAAGTATCCAATATTGAGTACATCTAAGAAGTTGGGAGGGAGATCTACTGTAGAAAACAATTAGAATATACAAAATGTACTTAAAGGCAATTTTGAAATACTTGTTGTTTTTAATTCTGTCCTTTCATGAAGGGATTGGAAATAATTTTTTGACATTAATAGTCCATTTGATGTAGGTATAGACCAATAACTTACGTGACAAATTTCAGATCATTCTTACACTCTGTTTTCCCAGAATAACTATTTCACTTGTGAACAAGAGCCACCGCTAGGCGGGGCAACGCTCGACTTTTTACTTTTTCTTAAAGCAAACAAAGAAACGTTTGAACAAATCTTTACATTTCCTTTTTATATTTTTAAAAGGTCTGTCTTGTCACACTAGTTTTGCCAAAGTATGAATCCTTTCCATAAATAAATGACAATAATATGAGAATATTATCAAAATTCAGTATATATATATTTATACTGGAAAAAAAAGTCGACCTAAAAATGACCCAAAATCAAATTATGAATGGCACAATTTTTTTTGGACTTTTGGACCTAAGTGGAGACTGTGGAGCAAAAATTTTTTAAGACTTTTGGACTTAAGTTGAGTTCTTTTAATACATGCCAATCAAAAGGTGGGAACGTATGTAAAGTAATTTAACATAAACTGCTGGAACCAAAAGTATTTGGCACCAGCCAGCACAATCATAAAGCCTGGTCAGGCTGTGTACTGTTGGTAGCTCACACATTTTGTATTTTAATACTTAAATTCCTTAAGTTTTAAATGGACTGTTTCAAATTTGAAGTTTGGCAAATCCATTACAAACATCTAGTATTTTAAGGACTGTTTATTCTTTCTTTAATTTGATTTTAACACATATTTGGTTATAGTAATGTAGTCAATCAAACTTAAACCTAACTAACCTGTGTAACAACCAATTGCTCCACAATAGTAACTGGATTGTGATTAACTTGACCACTGGGTTGTGATTAATGTGACCACTGGATTATGATTAAAGTGACCACTGGATTGTGATTAATATGGCCACTGAATTGAGATTAAAGTGACCACTGGATTGTGATTAATGTGAACACTGGATCATTGTGATTAAGGTGATCACTGGATTGTGATTAAGGTGACCACTGGATTGTAATTAAAGAGACCACTGGATTGTGATTAAAGTGACCACTGGATTGTGATTAAAGTGACCACTGGATTGTGATTAAAATGACCACTGGATTGTGATTAATGTGACTACTGGATTGTGATTAAAGTGACCACTGGATTGTGATTAATGTGACCACTGGATTGTGATTAATGTGACCACTGGATTGTGATTAAAGTGACCACTGGATTGTGATTAAAGTGACCACTGGATTGTGATTAATGTGACCACTGGATTGTGATTAATGTGACCACTGGATTGTGATTAAAGTGACCACTGGATTGTGATTAATGTGACCACTGGATTGTGATTTAAGGTGATCACTGGATTGTGATTAAAGTGACCACTGGATTGTGATTAATGTGACTACTGGATTGTGATTAAAGTGACAACTGGATTGTGATTAATGTGACCACTGGATTGTGATTAATGTGACTACTGGATTGTGATTAAAGTGACAACTGGTGTGTGATTAATGTGACCACTGGATTGTGATTAATGTGACCACTGGATTGTGATTAAATTGACCACTGGATTGTGATTAATGTGACCACTGGATTGTGATTTAAGGTGATCACTGGATTGTAATTAAAGTGACCACTGGATTGTGATTAATGTGACCACTGGATTGTGATTAATGTGACCATTGGATTGTGATTAATGTGACCACTGGATTGTGATTAAAGTGACCACTGGATTGTGATTAAAGTGACCACTGGATTGTGATTAAAGTGACCATTGTGATTATCTGGATTGTGATTAAAGTGACCACTGGATTGTGATTAAAGTGACCATTGGATTGTGATTAATGTGACCACTGGATTGAGATTAAAGTGACCATTGGATTGTGATTAATGTGACCACTGGATTGAGATTAAAGTGACCACTGGATTGTGATTAAAGTGACCATTGGATTGAGATAAAAGTGACCACTGGATTGTGATTAAAGTGACCACTGCATTGTGATTTTAGTGACCACTGCATTGTGATTAAAGCTTGAAGCTTATTTGAACTGTTCTCAAGTCTGCTGTACAGATCTAACCAGTACTGCAATGTTGTTTCATGTGAAAACTTGGTCATGACCCTAATCAGCAACCCTAATCTGTTGTTGTTTTTTGGTGGGTTTTTTTCCAATTTTTAATCCCATATAAGTGTAAATATCATTATCATAAAGCTCTTAATGAGAGCTTAAAATGACAGTTTAAATAGTCCAATTTTTTTTTCTAAATCAGAAGATATGGTATTTTGAAGATGTGAAAATTTCCTTTTTATTTAGTAAGGTTTACAAACATGATCCATCAGACGCAAACATCTTAACAATAAGGTCATAGTTCTGCATAAAACTTTAAATCAATTAATGTCGTAGTTTCAGTAACCTAACTACCAATAGGTGCACATTCTGTTAACATAGCAACAGACATATGAGGAAGTAAAGTCACCAATTATAATATGTACTGTGATGGAAAATAGATTCAACCAAGCAGAAAATTACTTTGTAATTCAATTTACTTCTGTTTACAGACTGGTCCCTTACATTACATACTTCAGTTATTATCAGGATGAAGGAGAACAATTACATATTTGAGAAAAATGTCTGGAAGATATAACTTACAAGTATATGTATATAAAATATATATCTGATAAATAATCAGCGTTTTCTCTAGAGAGCGGTTCCTGCGTTTTTGATGCAGTATTTTTCCATTTGACGCGGTAATATCATAGCCGTGTGTGTTTTCCACGACGCAAAAGGGTCAAATATGACCCCCAACAATTTTGGACATAGAGAAAACACTGAAATAATGGGTTTTTTTTAGCTTTGAGTTAAATGGAAATATAACTTTGTCATACAATATTATACTTGGATGTGAATGAACATTCACTTTTTTTTTGGTCATATTTTTATGTCACAGATGTGTTTGCCTCTGTCGACAGCTGTATTCTGAAGACAGCTGTGACAGTTGGATGTGTGAGTTAGGTGTAACAACATAAAACTGCCATTTTCTTCTCTTTTCTCTTTTCTTTTTAAATATCATCAATGCTTGCTTCAGTTTAACCCTAATCCTATACATACTACATTTCCCCTACTCCATTCAAAGTAAAAGGGATTTCAAAATCATAATACAAAAATTAACTTGGTCAAACTGTGTGGTAACAAATAAGTGCAGGCTGGCTTGGCTGAAGAGAAAAATCAGTTTGGAATCCTGCAGGTAAAGGTCTTAAAGTGATATCTGCAACAACAAAAGGAATAGAGGCTGACAATCCTGCTTATTGTCACCCAGGAACAGTACTATAAACAATGAACAAGATTAAATTATTTCTACCAATACATTACCTTAAGCCATCAGAATAGAGAATTTAAAGCCAAATGATAACATTTATAATATGGATGACAAACAACCTCAAATTTTTTTGTTTTGTTTTTTTTCTGGTTCTTTATTTATAGAATTGAAATAAAGCTTGAAAAGACCATTTTGTTTTTGGAAAATGAAAAACATGATTTCAGGTTTCACTGGGTTATGTAATTTGATAATAATTTTAGTGAAATAAAACACTAAAAATAGATCACAGTAGGCCTTTAACTAAAACATGTTTCCAAAATGTTTCCCTATATCTTTGTTATTCTATAAAGTAAAGTCGGGCCAAAATTTGCAAAATTTGCAAATCCAACCAAGCGCTTTATTGGTTTACTGTCAAATTTCAATAAACTTAAAATACAAATTATGACAATGTTGAGAAAAACTCTAGAAATAACTTCTGCTTCAAGTTAAGAACAAATCAGCTTTTCAAACCTTCAGGGAAATCTACCAGTTGTAATAACCAAGACAAAAATGTTATATACTTGGCCTTATGAATAATTAATTGTCTGAAAATATCAGTTAAGCTACTGACTTGCTTATGTTACTAGTATACAGTCTGGCCAGCCTACATGGAGCTAGACCAGCCTACAGAGTTAGGCCAGTCTGAGCAGAATTAGGTCAGCTTCCACAGTCCCCCCAGCCAAATTAATGAAGTTAGGCCAGTCTTAATGGAGTCAGGCAAGCCTGCACATAGCCAGGACAGTCTACTTGTAGTCAGGTCAGCTTGCACAGAGCTAGGCCAGCCTGATTACACTGTATTCTGTTGGCTGCTCAGTCTTGAAACCTCTAAGCTCTTAGCAGCATAACTTTGTCTCACATATTCAGCCTAGGTAAAACTTGAATATTTCTTACCTCTCTGTCCTTGTTCTTTAAAGAAGAACCTCTGAACCATGCTGAAATAAAGAGAATAAACATGATTTCTCTTTTCAAATTTTGGGTTGTTAAGGAAATATGGCTTCTCATTCCAGCTTTCTGGCTTGAAGGAGACCTCAGGTGCAAGTAGGCACCTCTGTAGAACCAGTTACCTTCTAAATGCTTACTCAGGATAGGTACATCATTTGAAAGAATATAATATGAGATGATCTCTGATGGGATTCAAACCCACAATGGGGATGCAACCAGTGGTAACTTAATTTGGAGAATATCTGTCTTGTATGATTTTGTATTAAGCATTGGTTATTTAATGCTCCTTAAAACTGTTTCTGGACAATTTTATAGATCTGTTTGCCAGTTTTTCATTGACAAGAAATGTATTATAAAAGGTAATAAACAAACATTTTCCTTTATAAGGCTTAGTCAATATAACTCCTTCAAACCCATAGCCTGCTGGCCCCAAATGATTCTACCACAATGTTACCAGTGCAGACCAAGATCTGCCGGCACAACTGTGCCATCAGATGATGGTCTGCAATGTTCAATATTCAGTCTGTACATATTGTGAAAATGGTCCCTAAAAATAATGAATTGTTCTGTCAAGTTTGAAAGATAGGCAACTCCATTTAAGATATTTAGCATGGTAAAGATTAATGGTGGCAATTTTTATTGATCTTAAATTTCACATTTTGTTGATGTTTTTTCTGTTTCTTTTTATACACAAACAGTGCACAAATTAGACTTTATGTTTGCTTCTTCTTTTAACACATGAAAGACACATAAAAGATCCTAAGTAGAATTTATGACAGAAAATAAGAATTTTCCTCTAAAGCATTTATCAACTGCTTCTAATTGTGCACTCTCAAGGGAACAGTTTTCACAAATGCACATCCATAAAGTGACAATCATAAATCTTCTATACATTGATAAAACTATTTCTAAGAATAAAACAGCTTCTGCTTTACAGAAGCCTGATTATAAAATGTCAATCAAGCACCTATGTGATGCTGATGTATTTCTAAAGAACTCTTCAATACAGGAGGTAACATTGTGACAAAACAAGGCAATAAAAGTCACCGTCTGCTGGTGTGAAATTTGTACAGAGTATATGGGAAATAAAACCATCAAAGTCCTCAACTTCCTAGAGATGCATCAACAAAGAGTATATATAAAGCTTATTGATTAACAAACTGTAGCACAGGGGAGTTGAATCTGTATGCAGGCTGAGAATCATTTTGTCCTATTAATTCATTTATTTCTTGCTTGATGATCAAAATCTACTTTTATGATTCACACCCTCCTAAATTATAATACTTTCAAACTCTGGTATAGATGTCTGAATTTAATTTTTCTGCTGGTAAATACTTTAAAAAGAGACATGTATGAATTTGTTTTTTTTGTTTTTTTCTGCAATTAAGTACATTCAAAATCAGGCATACATGTACATTTATATATAAGTTTGTTTTTTTCTACAAGTAAATTCTTTCAAAATCAGGCATATATGTCTAATTTGTTTTTTCCCCCAAAGACCACAGCAATATTAATTCAGTAGGACACTAACACAATTAATTACTGGATTAATTTATACATGTACAAGAATTGCAAGGAAAAATATTTATCTGACTTAACTTGGATGTTCCTGACAAGTGTTAAAGCCTTTATATGGGCAAAATTTAATCTTGTATTAGAAAGATGCCAAAATATGAAAACATGCATATTTTGTCAATTTAGTGTAGTAATAGGTTAACTCCTATCAAATTTTAATAGGAGATAACCCATTGCTGCACTACGGTGACAATATTCATAGTTTAAACATGAACAAGAAATAAATACCAATTTTCACTTTTTTTCACTTTTTCAAAAGACACAATGAAATTATATGATTTTTTTTCTAACTATTGGTCTGCTAATGGCACTAGATCTAACATGTGACCAGTGCAGACCATTAGATCCATGCGCCATGTCGTCTGATCATAGTCTGCACTGTTTGCTATTCAGTCAGAAAATTTTTTGAAATTGTCCCTTAAAATAATGGATGGAGTGGGCAAGTCCTTTTAAGATATTAATAGCAGGGTAAGAGTTTATCGATAAAAAAAAAATCAGAAAAAAACCATTGCGACAGAAATATGTTCATCAAACAGTGTGAATTTCATTTTCCCCGCTATTCTAGAGTCAGCAGCTATCGTGCTGGAAATATATTTCATTATAGGCTATGATATTATAGTCATCCATCATACAGGGTGAATAATAGTCTGCTATGATATTATATAGAAAATACAGAATATGTAACCACTATTCTTTTACTCTTCCTGGATAGAAACCATTTCTATGCTTGATGTGAGATATCATTTAGACAGACGATCTGCTGACATGATGACTTATGCTTTTATCTTTATAGTCAAAAATAGAAAAAAAAGCATTTTTCCTCCTTTTGTCTGCAAAAAACTCTTTTCTCTGATTGTTTCACCCTTTGCATAAAAGACTCCATAACCTTGTTGTGTCTTGGTGTCTTGTTTTTAATCGTAATTAGACAGTCAAATATGAAAATACTTTCTTTTATTAAAGTATAACCTCTGCAAAGTGACTCACTTTGGGAGACATTTTGGTCTTTGCTGAGAGGTGTTTGCTATACAGAGGTTAAATTCATTGTAAAGTCTTACATGTACAATGGCGTAGAATTGATACTGCTTTTGTTAAGAGGTAATTGCTCTACAAATTGGGGGCTGTTCTTCTGAAGTTGGACTGTAACTAAGTAACATGATTCAGAATCATTGTACGAATGGGCAGCCAGTAGTCATGGTAAAACTATATGAGCCTCGTCACGACAAAACCAACATAATGGGTTTGCGACCAGCATGGATCCAGACCAGCCTGTGCGTCCGTGCAATCTGATCAGGATCCATGCTGTTCGCTTACAAACCCTATTACAAGTACAGAAACTGATAGCGAACAGCATGGATCCTGATCAGACTTGGCAGACGCGCAGGCTGGTCTGGATCCATGCTGGTTGCAAACCCATTATGTTGGTTTTGTCATGACGCGGCTCATATGTCCTACCCAAAACTAGGGGTGTGGGTTCAAATCCTGACAGGGACTTTGGATTCTCTCAATTGAGGAAGTTATCCAGCTAGCTTACGGAACATTGTTGGTTCTACTCAGGTACCTGTTCATGCCTTAAATAATCCACAGAAGGGCACCTGAAGTCTTCCTTCCCTCATATGGCTGGAAAGTTGCCAACCAAAACTAGTAGGCTAAGACTTTTTTTATTAACTTCTCAGATGAGTTTAAACCCTTACACTGCTTAGTTTCTTAAATGAATATATATATATATATATATCCAGCTTCCATTTCTTGAAATTGTCCATCATCATTCAATTTTAGGGATAACAAGATGAATATTTTAAGTCAGTCAGCAAATAGTAAAGATTACAGCCTTGTCATAATACATGAAGACTAGCCTGATTCTCTCTATACTTATGGCATTAAGTCTCTATACTTATGGCATTAAGTCTCTATACTTATGGCATTAAGTCTCTATACTTATGGCATTAAGTCTCTATACTTATGGCATTAAGTCTCTATACTTATGGCATTAAGTCTATATACTTATGGCATTAAGTCTCTATACTTATGGCATTAAGTCTCTATACTTATGGCATTAAGTCTCTATACTTATGGCATTAAGTCTCTAATATTTATGGCATTAAGTCTCTATACTTTATGGCATTAAGTCTCTATACTTATGGCATTAAGTCTCTATACGTATGGCATTAAGTCTCTATACGTATGGCATTAAGTCTCTATACTTATGGCATTAAGTCTCTATACTTATGGCATTAAGTCTCTATACTTATGGCATTAAGTCTCTATACTTATGGCATTAAGTCTCTATACTTATGGCATTAAGTCTCTATACTTATGGCATTAAGTCTCTATACTTATGGCATTAAGTCTCTATACTTATGGCATTAAGTCTCTATAGTCTATACTTATGGCATTAAGTCTCTATACTTATGGCATTAAGTCTCTATACTTATGGCATTAAGTCTCTATAGTCTATACTTATGGCATTAAGTCTCTATACTTATGGCATTAAGTCTCTATACTTATGGTTTCAGTAGAGCAGTGTAAATATATCACACTTTAACTCTGTAAAGGTATAGCAGGGACTTTCTGGCTTTAATGGCATAGGAAGACAAAGAGCATAATTATAAGTACTTCCTTACCTGTTGACCCTGAGCCATATTCTTCTATGATTTGCACTGGCTCTCCGACACATAATGGCAGAGTTTTCGCCCCACTCCCTTTATAGTTACAAATGGCTGAAATGAGAAAATACAAAAGATCTTCAAATATTGGTTAAAAATGGAGAGATAAAGACTTGTGATCACTGAAATAGCTGTTATTTTTAGTATCAGCAGTTCTAATACTAACAGAGCATCAACAAACTGAATTTCACTTAAAGGCCCATTAAGCTTGAATACATTTCTATTTTTGGTGTCCTGTTACAATGTCCAGAAAATTACTCATTCGCCATACAGCTGTCCGAGAGACACCTTTCACATCTTTTGCATTTTGGCAATTATTGTAGTTATAATGATTTAGGGTTTTTTTTATGGAAGTCAAAATATGACTTTGTTTACAATTTTCACTACCTTTTATAACAAATTATTTCATATTCAGTGTTATTTTCTCCAGATGATTAGCATCTTACATGTTCTAAATCTATTTAAACAATTTAATACTACACATTTTACAGAAAATTTTATTCATTTCTAAGACTTTATGTGAACTTATTATGTGTTTTGTAAAAGCAAAAATAATGCCGTCGGTCAACAAATCAAGTAAATTAAGCTAGCAAAAAACACTAACAATTCACATAAATTACCAGAAATATGTCAAACTTATTTAATGCAAATATAGTCTATATAGGACAAATAGTAATTTCAGTCTGGATTTACATATAGCATGTGCAGACTATTACACGGATTTTAAATATTTATAGTCATTTCACAATCTCTTTAACCCGCAGCTTTGAAAAACTAATTTCGCTCGTCTTTCTTTAAGGCATGCTGCTTAAAGTTCTATGCCACCGAAACACAGATTCAATAAAACACATTCTAACTCAATGAACATAACAGAACATTAACTAAATGTCAGCTAAATTTGTGCAATGGACTACCCTGCTTTGAATTTGGAACAGTCCATTTTTATCATAAGGGGAGTCAATAACAAAATACTAAAATTGAGGGAAGAGGTGGCCTAGCGGTAAAGGTGTCTCACTCTTAACCCAGGGTCACAATCATGATCCCTCGTATGGCACCAGTACTGGTAAGGTCAGGAAGCGGACACAGGTGGCAGTATCAGTGTTTGGACACCCAAACCCCTATCTGCCCCTGGACCCCTACTACAACCCTGAAAAAATATAATTCAACACTCTAAGGCTTACTATATGGTACCAAATACAAAACCACCGATGAAATTATATAAAAAAAAAATTTCCACTATCAAAATTATAGTTATATCTATATAAGTAAGCTTTAGAGTGTTGAATTTTTTTTTCAGGGTTGTAGTAGGGGTCCAGAGGCAGATAGGGGTGGGGTGTCCAAACACTGATACTGCCACCTGTGGAAGCGGACTCAAAAGTGATTAATATAAGTTTTAAGAACTTGTTTCGCAATCAAGCTAAAATAAATATGTTTAAACTAAAATTGAACTCTCAACTAAGCATCTTAATGTCACAATCTGCAAGGATGTGCAGTCAAAATGACCTCATAAAGGTAAGTTATTGAACCCTGCCAGCAATAAAAATTATGTTGAAGTAGGAATTGACATAATTAATTATATATTAAATCATTTAATCAATCCACTGACTTATCCAAGACAGGAGAGTAAACATTAAAGAGCAATACATTTTAAATTTCTTTTGATAAGATTTTATTCTCTTTTAAAAGTAAACAGTTCTCAATATTGACCTGAATGGGTCAAAAAAATGTTGGCGAAAATATTTTATAATTATTCGTGACATTACATGGGCGAAAAAAAATTATATTGTATATGTATATGACATCGCATGTGTAATTGTATATGCATTTAATACCTTGTTGAATATACCCTAAATTAACACTACCTCACTGAACATACGCACGGATGACATAACACTGTAAAACTTTTATTGTCTTGGTGCACACACACTATATAATTTAGATATACACAATATCACACTGTCAGTTAGTTTACAAGGAAATTAATCCTACATTTTCATAAACTACATGATAGTTATCTTTTCCCACATATATTTATTACATACAGGGCCCATTACATGTATGTCCATCACCTAGTGTATGTCTTCATTAAATGAGTTCAGTGATAAAAATAGGTATTTTTTTTTTTCACAAAATAATATTTCAATGTTATATATATTTTACCCTTTAATATGATTTACACCGCAGCTTCAGTTTTTTAAACCATTCAAACTTTTAAAACAGTGTCTTCATCTGAACGTTAAACAGCAATTTTCTCCCTGAAAGCTGTAATCATTGAAATCACCAATACATTATTGTAGTAATATGTTCAAAGACAAGATGGTATAACTTTACCAGTGATAATCAACTTTTGTATTTAACAAATATGTGACATTAATATTGTAAGATTATCTTAAAATTGTTTGTTTACAAGTCAATTGCAAAGTAAGGTCTTCTCCTTTAAGGCTACAAAAATAACATGGAAACCTTTTCCTGTTTTCCACATTTTTGGGGGATTCAACATTTTGCATTCTAGCCTCTGCATACAGTCTGCCCCCAAAAACATCCCATCGACCCCCTCCCTTCCCCCAACCCGGAAATGATTTAAACTTTAATATTCAATTTATTTCACTCCATACACACTACAATATGACATAAAGATGATGAAAATATAGAATATAGACAGTTCTAAATTTGAGACAAGGCTAGGATAAATTAATTGTCAATAAACAACTGCAATTATAACCCCACATACACACACATCTGCCTTTTTTTTCATCATAACACATGCAGATATTTGAGTAATGTTATTATTAAAACATCATCTGAATCTGTTGACATAATGGAATGTCAATACGAAATCAATTAAGGAAAGCCAATAGATTGGTACGAAAATATCATATTTTTTTCTTTATCTATGTATAAAAATTGATTACTTAAAAGTGGTTGTTATATACATTTGATGAGTAAAATGGTATTATCTCTTATGATATAAAACAAAACGGATATTGCTGCTTTTTTCCTGTTCAAGATGTAAAGATATATTTTTGATGTGATGTAATAAATCAATTAAATAAAACACGATGACAAATCATGACATGCATACTGTATAAATAATATCTAACTGTCTAATTTTTTGTATTTATTTTATTACATGACTGTTATTTATTTGCTGTTTTCAATGTTACCTTGACATTGTTAAGATCAAAAGATGGCGTTCTCGCTTTACTGGTCACCTGACTTTGGCAGGTGCTGACCTCTAAGCATTATTTCATGTACCCTACATTTAAGTCCACAACTTCATGAACCAGAATTATTAGGCTTATGTCTACATCAAATACAAAATGTAATTCTTAAATTCAAACATTTTGATATTGTTGGGTTTTTATTCTCTATTATCAAACAATTACTTCACTACTGTACATTTAAGTCCACAACTTCATGAACCAGCATTACTAAGGCCTATGTCTACATCAAATACAAAATGTAATTCTTAAATTCAAACATCTTGATATTGTTGGGTTTTTATTCTCTATTATCAAACAATTCATAAATTCAAACAATTTGATATTGTTGGTGCTATTCTCTATTATCAAATACATGTACATGTAATTCTTAAATTAAAACACCTTGATATGGTTGGGTTTTTTTTTCTCTATTATTAATTCAAACACCTTGATATGGTTGTTTTTTTTTCTCTATTATTAATTCAAACAATTTGATATTGTTGGAGTTATTCTCTATTATCATATAATTCATAAATTGAAATAAGAAATACATGTACTCTTACTGTACATATCCACTGTGACTCAATGAAATTCTAGGAATAAATAATATCATTATGACATGGCTTAAGAAATTTAAGTAGGTATTTAATCATTAATCAAGTTATCTTATTTTAATTTAATTCAAATTTAAAATTTACTTCCATTTAAGCTTTTACATTAGGGGAACTTCATTTCTGAAAAGTCCCAAGCTAAGTGGCAAACCTCAACAACAAATGAAAGGAAAAATCTTAATTTAGATAAAGCAATTATTGCTACACATGTTCATATGCACTTGAAACAGCAGATTTTCCTTGTATTACTCAACCTAGCAAGTTTGAAAACCAGTTGTTTTACAAATAATTTGAAAAAGGGCAAACAAAGTTGATCCGAAAAAAAAGTAAAGTCACCACTTAAAGACCTCAGACAATAACCTGTGACAATATAAATAGGTAAGGTTATGCCAACTAAGAGAACTTCAGCCTGTCTAACCAAATAAGGGGGGACTAACATAATACTTAAATACCCATTCATATCATCCCAGGCTTTGTTTAGAGCCATTCCCCTTGACTTCAGTCAAGACATCTGCAGCAAAGAGCCTGAGTAAGTTGAAGTGCCAAAGTTTTAAAGTCTTAGAAGTCAGGTCTTACAGGGATAATAGAATGGAAGAGTTTTAATAATGTCATTTACCATTATATATACAGTATACATTGTATATATAATAGAAGTTTATATATATATAAAGTAAACTTCTATTCTACTTGACTTCAATACATTTTATTTGTATGAAACGCTCTTTCTCTTCTCCTGTTTTATAACCAATATCGGTAGTTTGCTGATTTACAAGATAAGGCTTTATAACTGAAGTAACAAATTTCTTTTTGAAAGTTAACAATCTTTTTCCCCATCAATATACTAGTAGCACATGCTTAGCCACATATTAAATAACAAAAGTGACAAGACATTCCCTGTCCACTTCAGAATAACCATGACTGTTCTCTTTTTCCTTTGTTACATGGTCTAAAGTTTAACGTGGGCAACATCTTATCCGGTGAAACTGTTAATGAACAGTTTCAAGCTCCTTAATTCAATTTAATAATTTCCTTTTTATCAAAGAAATGTTATTAAGCACAAGGAAGTTAAAAAGTTATACTTTTATCATCTATTTATATCACTAGGAAGTAAATTTATGTTTATTATTCTTAAATCTTTTATAAAACTACCTACAAAAACAGCTGGTCCTTTGATAAAGTTTAGCTACATAAATTACAAAGTAAACAAATTTTAAGTTTACAATAACCATGTTAAATTTGT